TGTTGCTGTGGGGTTCCCGGACAGATCCATCAGCGTAATAGATAGGAAAGGGAGAGCGGGGAAACGCTAATGAGAAGACGCTTGTGGAAACTGGGATTTGACCATCCCGAGAACCCCACCTATCACATCCACCACATCCGTTGCTCGGTCGAGGAGAATGATATCGAGGAGCTCCGGCGGGTTGTTGCCAACGCAGAGCAAGGGGAGCTGATTCAGGTCAGACACTGTCCAGGAGCTGAATGAGCCCATGATGGTGGAATCCCTTCTCCCTATAGCTAAACGTACCCCAATAGGTCGATTTCCAATTTTGGGACATTTCAAATTGGTCAGTTTGATTTTTTATTGATCCCCTTTAGCATTTGAGGGTTGCACCCCCCATTTATCATTGATAATAAGAACTAGTCAACACCGGGATGTTATTCCCCAAAGTGTGTCCACATGAGAGGTTCTTGCGGTAAGGGTTAAGGCCTGTGCTTGATCAGGGTGCTCAATCTGGCTTCTGTTTTTTCCTGTAAGTTCTCGCATAAAATGGCAATGGCTCTTATGTTTTGCCCATGATGTGCATTTAGACTGTGTGTGTGTTCCCTGTAAATTCTCGCATAATATGGTTCTTGTGACATTCGTAGGCTCGCACAAAGGGTGGGTCGCGGTCTTGGTCTGCAGCATTTTGCCTGAGAATTCTCGCATAAAATTGCTTGTCTGACATGTCCCAGCATGTTCAAGCACATTTCGATTGCGCACGCAAAACGTAGGCATGAGATGTGGCCTGCGGCATTTTAATGCATTTTACCTGTAAATTCTCGCATAAACTAGCTTTTTTGACATGTCCAAGTGCATTTCGATTGCGCAGGCTCGCACAAAACGTAGGCCTGAGATGTGGTCTGCGGCATTTTTCCTTTAAATTCTCGCATAAAATGGCTCTTGTGACATGTCCAAGTGCGTTTCGACTGCGCAGGCTCACACAAAATGTAGGCCTTAGTCTTGGTCTGCGGCATTTTGCCTGGGAATTCTCGCGTAAAATGGCTTTTGTGGCATGCCCATGTGCAATCACAATGTGTTGTCATGTCCGCAGCTTCAATTTATAAGTATATGTATATAAGTCACTTTCAAGACCTGCACGCCTGCCATGTTTCCGTTCAAAGAAAGACACTGCATCACCACATGTTTCTTGAACCTCTAATATAACAGCCAGAAACCACATAATGTATGCCAAAAGGCCACATAATGTTACTACACACCAAGAGGCCACGCAATTCTTCTGTCCAGATACTTTCTGCCTTTCTTTTCGCCGCCTGGGAAGCCATGGCTGCGCAAACCCTGGCGGCGTTGCTGGAGCTTGCCCCTGAAAGTGTCCGAAATGACTTCGAACCTCTTGGACCCTGTGCCTTGCGTGACCTTGCGGCCGCGCAGGCAGGGGCGATGTTGGGAGGTATGACTTCCGACCTGGGAAAAGCTACTGATATTGTTACCGCCCGTTTCTTTTCATGCAAGTTGCTTGGGACTTATACGACCCCAGCTGAGCGCGGCCAGACAGAAATTCACAACATTGGAGCCAGCTCGACCAGGACCACGATGACTGCTGAGCTGCGGCAGCGTGCTTGGAAAGCTCAGATGACCACTGAGCTGCGGCTGCGTGTTCCCATGCGGACTCTGCTGCGCTGCCTCCGGAAAAGAATGCGTTGGAGGATGCACTGCGTATGCATGCGGCAAACAAAGCCTCGCAAGTCTGACGTGATCTTCACCAGAGAGGGAAAAATGACTCACAGGCCGATCTTTGACTTTTCAGGATAGCACGTAACATCTTGAACAAGTTCCCCCATCATACGGATCCGTCGTGGCGTATACGTTTTCTATATATATATATAGATCTGTTTTCGGCTCTATTGTTTGAACATGCATCTGTCTCGATTTCCATTGCTTTCCGTGTTCTGGCTAAACCATCGATGTCATTTTCAGTAGGAGCGGTGTTGTCCCCTCTGTTACACGAACTTTGAACTATACGAAGATCTTGTGAGCATATAGATGCACAAAGAAAGTGCAGCTGCTGTAGTTGCGCTAATGTCTAGCCATGTCTAGCCTGATCTGTTATCATCTGCTACTGTTTAGTTACTGTTGCTTGTATCTGGCGCATTGATTCCGTACCCGCCACACTGTTTGGGGTGTCTCTTGCCGGTATAATTTATTGATTATTAGGGTCCGTCCTTTAAAATCGACGTTAGTCGTTTTCTATTCAGATGTTGAGTCTAATATTAGGGGAGCCTTCGAAATCCAAATTTTGGCAATGTGCCAATTTTTTTCTAAAAAGGAACCTAATCGATTTCCACACAGAAGATTTGAATATCTTAATTAAGGTTTTTAGTTTTTAACTTTCTATTAGCGGAAAGCTTCGCACCCTACTGCTATTAAATATTTCCTAACATATTTAAAACTCTTCCGTATGAGGGACAGGGGATTTTACATGCTGAAGAGTGATGGCAAAAATTGACATGAGCTGACGCAGGAACATGCTTCATACTGCAGTCATACGCTCTATGTATCCTATTTTTTCATCAAGTTGATTGATCTAAAACACAATGTACGGTTTTATATATATATATATATATGTATAACTGTATAACTGTATAATGTATAATTTATATGTATTATTAATTACATAGCTATATTTTATACACAACTATAATCAAAGGAAATTTAGTCAGGAAACTTCCGAGTTACAGACGACTGTCATGGGTATAGTAAATAGGGCCTCTTTTTCCGCACTTCCGCGGCTCGATCTGCAAAAGTTGTTGACAAAAAGCGCAGAGGACTGTAGCGAGAGCTCGGTTTGCATTTCAAAAGGTTAAAAAACTGGAGCGTTCGGACCACTTTTGGAAGATGAGGTCGGCAAAATGCGCACGAGACTGTAGCGAGAGCTCGGTTTCACAAAAAAAACCCAAAAAATTCATTCGGGGGAGTGGAACAGCGTCGGAATTTGGTCGAGTCCCCATTGTCAGCGCTGCGCGAACGTTGGTCAATTGGGTGTGATGCTGTGAGGCTCCTGTGCTTTGCGGGTTTGCAGCCAGCTGTGACAAAACGCATTGGCACGGCTGTCCGGTGCTGCGACGCTCCTGGCAAGCGGGATTGCACCTAAAGGTTGCTAAACGCATTGTAACAGCTGTACCAAAGGTAGCTGTTGACCACAGTGCTACTCTTGTGCTATGCGGAATTGCAGCTGGAGGCTGCTAAACGCATTGAAACGGCCGCACCAAGAGAACTATGAAGCTCCAAAAGAGCTGGGAGGCAGTTCAGAGCACAAGTAGCCCAGATGAGTGGCTGCTCAGAGAAGAAGTAGCTGAGAGAAGACAGCGTCAGTGAAGAAGTAGCTCAATAAAGAAGGTAGCTCGCCAATTTCATTCATTCATTCATTCATTCATTCATGCATGCATGCATGCATGCATGCATGCATGCATGCATGCGTCCATCCACCCACCCACCCACCCATCCATCCATCCATCCTTTCGTTCGTTGGTTCATTGATTCATTGACTCATGGGTTCATGGATTCACTGATTCATTGCTTCATGGGTTCACTGATTCACTGAATCAATTGGTTCATTGGTTCCCTGAGTAACTGCGCTTCATCCATTCATTCATTCATTCATTCTTTCTTTCTTTCTTTCTTTCTTTCATTCGTTCGTTCATTCATTTATTCATTTATTTACTCAGTCATTGGTTCATTGACTCACTAATTCACTCTTGCACTGGTCCATTGATTTATGGATTCACTGAATTGCCCGTCACTGGGTCATTGATTCACACAATCATCTTTTCATTGGTTCATCGGTTCAGTGCCCTATTGGTTCACTGAGTCATTGTTTTGCTGATTCATTGATTCACCTACTCACTATTCCATTGATTCATTGATGACTCACTAAATATTACTAAATCATTCGTTCTTCGAGTCATTATTCATTGCTTAATTGGTTCGTTGTTTTCATGAATCATCAATTGATCGGTTCATTTGTTCATTCATTCAGTGATTCACTGATTCATTGATCCATCGATTCATTGGTCCACCGGTTGCTTGATTCATTGAGTCATTGCTTCGTTGCTTCATTCATTCAATTGTTCATTGATTGACTGATTCATTGATTCATTGGTTCATCGGTTCATTGGTTAATTCACTCAGTTATCCACGGATTTGTTCATGTCATTTTACTGGCACCTCACCAACAATTTGTTCATTCGTTGATGCACCTCACAACTCCAACACTTGCGTTTGCATCGCAAAATTTTCCTATAGGCCATTGATTTCCTATAGCCATGTCCTATTTTCGGAACTTCCGCACCGGCCGGGCACTTAATATACTAAGATTTATATAGATTTATTGCTACTACAAAATACTGAGCTATCTCGAAGTAATCGCAATATTTCCTGGCAACAGCACCTCTTCGATTGAGAATTTTGCAGATTGCAGGCATTCACCATTCAGTCCTTCGTCATGGCTTTGAAGGTGGGCGAAATGAAACTGCTGACAGGGCGAAAAACACCAAGGATGTGGAGGATTTGACCCTCCAAAATGCCGTGTACTTGGCCTGTAAATTCATTATTGACTCACATTGTGAATGATGATATTTGATCGACATTGATCATTGATCTACATTTTTCTACAATGATCAACATGTTGGGGAACGCATCATGAAATATCTCTTCCATTTCTTCCCTTGCAGCCTCTAGGCAAGCTCTTTGGAGATGGTCCAGCAGTGCCGCACCGAGATGGAAACACAGTCAGAATTGGTCAATGCGTACCATGAGACATCATGGGACCATCCAAGATGGGGAGATGTTGGAAACCGGGTACCAGGGTGAACTGACCCGTACCCACATGTTGAGCCATGTCGTTTCTTTCGTTGGAGCGTTGTGGATTGGGAGTCAGCGTTACGGAAACGCAAGCAGGTGTGGCATCAGAGTTGCGTGCCGCAGTTTTCGATATCCGCGTCATCAGGTTTGTAGACTGGGGGATGCCTTTGCAGTCTGCTTCTCTCTCCCAGGCTGGGCCGACAATGTTTCAGTGGTGAGTGTTCGATTTTGTTTCCTCTTGCAACAGGTCAGTTTTCCATCACGAGAGATTCACAGCCATGGGCCATGTTTGTTTTCCGCAAGGGAGGACAGCAAGTCCACTTTGAGAGTTGTTTCACAATTTGCGCTCTACTCGGCATTGTACAATGTTCACTGAGTGTGATCCCTCCCGCGTTTTGCTTGGGCAGTTCCTTTCCAGGTTCTTCATTTGGTTTGCGAAATGGTGAGCCGAGAGAACTTCAGCAACTCTTGGAGAATTCTAGCACGCCCTGGCTGAGTATTTGACAACTCGAAGACTCAAAGTGCCTGTGTAGCTGGAAATCATGGAAAAAATGGAACAAAACTCTACTACTTTCGGTCCGCTTGATTTTCACTGTTGTCGAAAATATCAGGAAATCAACCATAAATCAACCATAAACCTGACCCTGCCAGAAAGTGCTTGCAGATGGCAACGCTTATGGAGGGCTTGACATCAACACACCTCGGAGCAGTGATGGTGTGCGTTGCTCAGAAGATTGGACGAACACGCAGCCAGAAGTATCCAAAAACCATGAATCTTAGTCAAAACCCGGAGTGGTTACTCAGGGACCTCTTAAAGATGATATTCTCTCGGTCGAAGCAGATAGACCAGGACCACTGTTAAAAAGGTTGAATTTGTGAGCTGTTCACAGTGTGCAAAAGGGCGGTTCTAAGGCAAGGGGGATTTGAACATCTTTAGATTAGGCTGATTAGGTTTGATCTTTTTGGGATTCTCGACTTGATATGCCTCGTCCATTTTTGCACTATCAAACTGCAATGTAACACATCCAGCCGCAACAAGCGTCAACGCATGCAGTGGACGCCGCTCTGCATCGCCTGTGCGGGGGCTTGCTTGCCATTGGCCTTCAAGCTCTTAGAGCCGCTCTTGCGCTCTTGGGGAAGGGCGAAGGATTCACCGCTTGGCAAAGTCTCTGTTTGGCGAGACATTCTGAGATTTGAATTTCAGCCCGAATCGATGCAAAGATTTGCAAAGTGACAAAGCTTGGTGGGGATGGAACACTTTCTGCCTTGAAGTACAGGTAAAAATCAAAGGTTGCTCGCTGTCAGTGCTTCTTCTTATCAAAGAGAAAGTTTGATAAAAACAATTTACATTATGTATGATAATATATTATAATATATACTTCTGTGATGTATATTTAGGCAACTCAGGATGCGGTCAGTACTTCTGGATCTCGATAAAGCTAAAATTCTGCAAACAACAATGTGCGTGGCAGGCTGAAAGCGGACCCAAATGTCATCACTCGTAGCAACGAAACTCCGTTGTCGGAATCTTGTCGAGTGCGCCATGATTCTATACCACTGTACTTCTCGTAATACATATCCTTATGTTGCTTTCTGAGCATGGCAGATTGGCGTCAAAGAACCATTTCTAGATTGCGTGGATTCGTGGATATATGTTACGAAAATGTGGTTTTGGAGTTGTTGGCTTCTTGCAGCCAGGCATGTTGCCTCAGGTCCCTAGCCAAGCGCGCACAGCCCGAAGACAATGAAGAGCAGAGAGAGGTGCCTGGGACACTGTTTGATTCCGCATCATATCATAGACGTAGCAGCTGAAATTGTAACGCTCAGACTGAGGCCTGCTTGACTGGTCAACAGTGCAAGTATGTGCAAGTAAATGAGATTCCGTCAAAATTTGCGCTGATTAAGTATGTACTGGAGTGTGCATCGGATGTTGGCTGTTGCATGAAACCTGCTAAAACGATAGGGGACTCACAAAAAAACGATACGTTTTTGATTGCGCATGCTTGCGCGTTTTGTGGTGTGGGCATAGTATTTGCTTAGGCAGGGTTGTTTTTTTACGGTTGGATCCACTTCACCATGAATGGGTGTGCCCATGCGGTGTGTTGACTTTACATGACCTTACACTACTTTAGCCACCCAGGTGGGCTGCTTAAACTCGGCACCGAGTAGCTCAGACTACGGAAACCATGCACCTATTCGCAGGCAGTGTAGGCATGCTGGAGTGGCCAACTCCATGCAGTATCTTGTTTTGCTGCCTGGCCTAGCTTTGGTAGACCGCGGCGAGCTATTCATTCAGTCCCGCACGCACGTGACTTGCAAAGATGGAGCCCGCGTAGAACGATACCCAAAACGATACCCAAACGATACCAAAACGATACTAATCTAAAATCTTTCCAAAAGCGCCCCGGGTGACCGACTGGTCACAAAACAGGCGGAATAGGCGGTGGATGTTGGTAGTATATGGTAGTATGTTGTAGTGATGGACTAAAGTTTTGTGCCCGGCTGGATAATTAAATTTTGAGGTTAGCAGCTGTGAGTGGCCACAGCATGCTAAAACCCATTTTCTTTCCAAAAGACTTGCTGGTTGAAGAGACCGCCCAAGCAGCGGGAAGGAGGACCAGACAGGCGCGGGCAAAAGCACAAGTGCGCTCCAACGCGCAAACAAAGATCGCCAAGGATGAGGGTCCAAGTGGACGCGCTTCAAAACTACGCTTAAACAGAGGGAAATAATTGTCAAAATATGTAAAAACAGGAAAGCCTGTAAAACGATAGGGGACTAATATTTCGACCGTGGCTCATATGCAAGTACGTGCAAGTTTGTCACGTCATGTCAAGTCACAAGTTCGCAAGTTCATGCAAACTTACAATAAGCAGGTCAACAGTTGATGATATGCTGTCAAGACGCAGGACATATGAAACCCAAGACACTCTCAAGATGTTAAACTCGATATCACAGCAAACGAACACATATCAAAAACATCCCGCCCGACCGGAAACCGCGCGTGGCGGCGTGATCATTTGTGCACAACATCTATGATAGAAAATGTGTCCAGCGTGAGGTTTCGGCACACTTGAATTTTGTTTTTTGTTTGATTTTGTGTCAATTACATATTGTTTTTTGTTTCGACCATTTCGTGATGTGGAAGTGATGTTTTTTGGGTTTTACATGTCCAAAAAAGAGAGGCTCCAGAGCGTGCCGGTCAGTCATTTTCCCACGCCTGCCACTCGAAATTGGGACCGTTTTAGCCAAGCAGCGCTTGACGTACAGCCTTTGCTGTGGTTTTCAACGTGTTTTTACACATATTGATGTAACATGATGTAACGCCATTGCCAAGAGATCCAAGAGCGTGCGTACACCAACAGCCACGGACTTTGTGTGGTCAATCCATTTGGTATGTTTTTCTTTAGTTCCTTCCACCGTGTTAACATAAACATGAGAAAGTCAACAAAGTACCAACCTTCATCTGATAAGTAGCAGCCAATTCCACCCTGGAAAAATTATCTAAACCCAAGTGATGCAATCTTCGTGTTTGTGTAGCAACAACATCCACTCCACCCCACCCCGTTTGTAAATGTTTGTAACGTAGCATGACGTAGGAGTGCATGCGCAAGAGAAGAGACGTTAACGTAGCATCACATATGAGTATGGGTGTAGGTGCATTTGAACGTTATTACCCTACCCCACTCCATCCCATCCCACCCCACACGCTGCAGAAGTTAAAAACTGCATCACTACGCGTTCGGTTTTCGGTCCTAAAGTGTTTAAACATGCTGATCGTTGGGTGTTTCTTTGATGTGATCCCATTGCCATGTTTTCCTGCTGTATATTGCTGTATCCTGTGCAAGGCACGTGGCATTATTTCTAATATGCTTCGCTCCTATGGTGCACAGGACGACAGTGTTCAGACGTTTGGAATATGCCGACGCAGTCGCGATGAGATATGCATGAATATTGACACCAAGAAAGATGCAGATCCAGAGGTTTGGCAAAATGTTCTGCTAATCGACATCATTTGATCGCCTGTGGATTGTGTGCTCCATTCTTCGCATTTCCAGGACAGCTACAAGGACGTGCTCAGGATCTCTCGGAAGCAAGCCAAGGAGTTCAGTGGGCTGAAGGTGTTTGAAGCTGAATCCCAAAACAGCAGCGAAAGTGTGATTCCACTAGACCCACATTTGAGACTTGAGACGTGTTGAGAAAGTCAACATAGTTCGACGTATTCTGTTGGAAGCCATGACAGCCAAGCGCGGATGTTCCGGTGCATCAACTTGCAATTTTGAGGAGATTAATGTGGAACCGACCTCAGCTAGTTGTATTTTCATCGCTACATTCCTCGTGGGACAGCTTGAATTGAATCAGGAAGAATCAAGAAAAATTGGGGCCTACATGACACATTGGGACAAAAAACGATCATGGCTATTGATGGTTAGTGATGGTTAGTGTGTATGTTAGTGTATGTTGCCACCTTCGACTGCTTCACTGAGGCCTCGGAACCTGTGTCAAAGTCGTCGCTCTGCAGCATGAAACAACACACCAGATGTGCACTACAGATGAACCACCACAAAACCTGAGAAAGTAAGAAGCATATGAGGGACGGACACTGGTTTTCGGAAATTGCACACATATATGAGGTAGGCGATGGGACCTTCCCAAACAGCGATGCCACCGTTTAATTTATACCTGTGTGCACACACATCTTTTCCTGCAAGCGATACCCCACAAATTTACCATACATCATTTTCGTACTGTACAAATGTGTGCTAAGCGATGGCACCTTCCCAAATTTGCTGATGTCCTTTTGTATCTTTTGTGAACCTGAAGTTTCCGAGATTGCTCACATAGTTTCAAGTTCCAAGGCTAGCTTAGAATTCCCGTGAAATTGTGTCCAGGCATGTCCAGGCAATTCTATAGTGTGCCGTTTTGTTTTCTTACATTGCGCGAGATAGTTTAGACTGCACTGCAGCTCAGGCACACCCGATACCGTGGATGATGCCGTGGATTTGGTATTGATAAACGAGAGAGACTCAGAGAGAGAGAGAGAGGCACAGAAGACTCACAATTCCAACGAGATCATGGTTTCGAACGTAAAATATCGATTAATATCGTATAATTACAGGATGTCACATTGCATCTAAAGAGGTGAAATTTCTAAATCTTCACAGCAGTCTTTCTTTTTCTAAGATACAGTAAGATGGGAAGGTGACAAGGAAAGTCAACAACAATATAGAATATGGAAGGGTCTTCTGAAAGACAAAGCACACTTTCCGTGCTTGTTGAAGAATTCGTGCAGCACAAGAGTAGCGTTCTGAAAGTAGATCGGGACCGCATGGACTGCTACCTGCAAAGTCCTTGTCTGGAATGCTATTACTTCTTTTGCATGATTGCAGTGAGAAAAAGATGCGGACGACGCATCGTTCTCCAGTTGCCAGGGTAAAGTGGCTTGGTCGAACGCTGCTAGTAGCACAAATCCGCGAATCCACAATCTACAGGAAACATCAGGAAACTCAATTCCTCCTTTCGTGAATGCACAGACGTGTGATTTGCATGTTGGCTCTTTGCAACCGCTGCACGAGGTCCAAGGCAAATAAACGCCGCATGCTTACAAGAATACGATGAATATTGAGTATTCTGGTATCATCTGCTATCTCATCAGAGATTTTGATTCTGACTACGGTCCTCCATGAGTTGTCGCCCAATTCTAGTTGTTGCATGCAAGATCAGGTGTGAGAATATGGTGGCCACATACTGAGGATTCTTTAGGCTTGATGCATCCCTACTTTGATCCAAAATTCTGTAACAGTTTTTCCGCGTGTTTTCCTGATGGCTGGCCAAGCCGAAAAGAAACAGGCTGCAGCCTCAACTAGCCGTTGCATCACAAAGGTCTGCAGGTTGCTTGGGAGAGGGGCACGGCGCTAGACTCTAGACATTTAAATCATGTTGTATCCATCAAGTTGTTCTTATTAATTGCAGCAGCCATCAGCAGCCTAGAAAGAGAGTAACAGTTACTTATAGTTACTTGCCTGATTTGTTTAAACATGTTTAAAGTGACCAAAGGCAAACAGCTTGGAGCTCCTTCATTCAAGCCGGCCTTCGCAGCACCGAGGCCAAGAGAGCAGAATCATCCATCCAGCGCCTTGGGGTTGATCCAACTTTTATTTTACACAAACAATCAGAAACGAAATCATAAACACATACTCAGATATATATCAGATATATATCAGATATCTCAGATCTCCAAAATGAAAGCTTTAACTCAGAAGTAGCACTTTTGTTTTGATGTGTTCCTTTCTTGTAAAATCGGCTTGGAAGGCGGTGAGGGTGAACCATGGCAGTGAGTGAAATGCATGAAGCACTCTGTCTGTGTTTGGGCCTTGTTTCTGATTTGCCGAGCTGAGGTACTATTTGTTTGCCATCATAGGTGTCAATGCTTTGTACTTCCTTTTCCGCGTGATCCTCTCATGGAGCTCCATGGGTAAGTGGAACTTGTGCCGAACTGAGTGGCAAAGCAATACCGGTGAGGATTCAGGCAATGTCGGAGGCATCCTTGAGCCATTTTGGACCTCTCAATTCTGGAGCGTAAGGATCCTGGAATAGTCATGGAACATGGAACAGTTTTGCCCAAGGTGCGGGATGCTCTTGTTCTCTGGGGTCTCATACTTCACGTGGGGGCCTTAATATGATGACTATGCTTCGGCAGCTGGCCTGAATATTCAGAGAAGGGCATTGATTCGATCAAATCATGACAGATCATTACAGTTTTGAACAGTTTTAGATCATTTACCCTCTGGTAAACTAACGTAGCGAACTGGAAAATCACCATTTTTCATGGGAAAACTCACTATAAATCACCATGTTCAATAGCTATGTTAAATTACCAGAGGGTAAGTATACTGAAGACATACTATTTTATGCCCCAGGGATCCCCAGGGTATGTTTATCTCGATTTATCTCATGTAGCAGAACTCGTGGATTTGCGGCTACTTTGCCATCAGTCAACACATGATAGGAGGCTGCAAAGGTCTCCTTTAAATGTCTAACATCAAACTATGTGTCAAGAGTTTCCCCGTGCCAAAACAATGTCCCGGAAATTGTGTATTGGCCTTATTCTTACTTTAACCATTCCAAGTCCATTTGGTTAGCAGTACATTCCAGCAAGCAGAGTGTGTTGTTTGTGTTGTTCACCCCCCAAACTGAATCCAAAAAATTGCCTGTTGCTTGGGATACTGGGATATTCACCCATCACCCCAGGTCACCCGCATCTTCATCATGGGTTTCCCTATGGGTTTCACCCCCCTAGGTTCGGAGCCATCAAGTCCTCCCTGGAGGTAGGAGCCAACTTCGAGATGTATCTGGACGGGGAGCTTTGCGTAGCTTTGCAGTCCTTGCACATGATATGCGATCAACTTATTATTATTATTATTATGTACCTTCAAAAATTAATTGAACAGTAAGATTAAGATCCTTATTTGTTCTAAAATGCTGGTTAATAGTTTGTCCTATATATAATATTATATAAGTTACATCTTTTTTGGGGGTGATATGAGACTTTAGACCACTTTGATCATCTTGGATCCATGTCACGGAATAGATGCGCTCTAACCGATCCCATTTCTTTTGAGAGTTGGAGCATTCAAAATCGCGGTTGCAGACCTCCTGAACACTACAAGAGGCTGCAAGAACACCTAAGAAAACTGAATTACAAACATGGCGACTGTATCAGGACCTCTTTATCGTGAACTTGGCCACCCAATTCTTAGCAGCTTGGATGAGTCAATTTTGTTCAAGCTGCAGAAAGCTTGCCCATGTTTTGTCCATTTCCAAGGTGACGTTCAGCAACTATGGTTGGCTTCTATACTTGGCGGTTTTTTGCTCAGTGGTCAGACTGGACTTTGTGCTTTCTCCAGCGCTGTGCGAGAGAGTCACAGTCAGGTGCCTGGCTATGCTGGATGGAAAATTGTGAAGCTGGTCATGGACTATGCTTAAGACTTAGCCAACTCAGCGCCGGCTGCATATACCATATCTTTGCCAGTGTGTAGCGGACGTCAATCTGGTGGTTGTATGTGTTTGTTTGTTTATTTGACACACAGAGATGAGATGCGAGTGAATTGGAGCTTCACTTGCTTTTTTACCGTTGCAGTGACATCTGTCAGAAGCTAATCCCATCCAATTTTAAAGACCTTTTTTCCCACCCCCATTGATAGCGCCAGATGTAAATCCGCGACATCCAGCATGGCGTCATGCGGTTTTCGCACCGACATCCAGCAGGTTTTCACACCGACAGAGGCTGAGCTTGCAGAAAACGATCCGGAGGTGCCGTTCTTTTTGTGGAAGCTGCGGATGCAGGGCCAACTTCAATACTCCTTGATTGGAGATGAACAATGTATAACAATGTATAACAATGTGGTGTTTTTGTATTTGCGGAAGGGTGTTGAATCGTTTTGATATGTTTCTGAACAAAATGATGGATTGCGGCCAACTTGTCATACTTGAAAAGTCTTGAGTAAGCCCAGCGCCAGTATAAGAAGCGTATGGAGAAGAAGGAGAAGAAAGCAGAACGGCAAAAGTTCAAAGCTGTGAGCTCAGGAGTTGTGCAACAGTGCCCTCAGGATATTAGTCTCATGATAGGCTTGAGGTAGGCTTGACTGGCAGCACTGACGATGCTGTTTGTGGCAACAACTTGCAAGGTCGTCAAGCATTGATCTTGGGGCAGAAACTGCAGGGTCCAAAGTTTCTTGGCCGTGCTGAAAAGGTGATTTGCGTGTTGCGTGAGTCTATTGGCTGCAAGGTGGTTACTTTATTGGGTTGATCTTTGTTACTTGCAGGTTTTCTCATGTTTTCTCATGTTTTCTATTTGCAGGCTTGGAAATGTGGCTAGGAGATGGCGGCATGTGCCAACACAGGATCAAGTGACTTGGTCCAGGGATATCTCAGCATGTGAATTTTGAAGCCTATAATTACAACTGTAACCTAACTGCCGGAATCACCAACCATCCACAACCACTTTCGGAGCAACAGGAAGTTAGCACTCATGAAACATCATTGCAGTGGGCTTCTTCATATTCTGCCCAAATTGAAACGGATGTTTGACCTCCACATGTTGACGCCTTTACCAAAGGTCTTGCCCAGTCGTTCGTTTCGCGGCAGCTTGTCGGCTCAAGCTTTGAGCTGGGTCAAACACGAAGTCATAGACTCAGCCGACCCAGTGAAGGTGATAGGCTCAGAAATCTGAGATCCGACAACTTGTGACTGATCAAAATCTTGGGTGTTTCATGGTGTTTCCACATCAGAGCAGATTTGATCTTCTATACGGATCTATATACGATGATCTATATACAGTGCCGTTATTGGCGAAGCTGCCAGGTGGTGCACGATGAAGCTGCTCTCCCTTATCCTCTACAGAGCGAGAGAGGCTTTCAGCAAGCGCTGTGGATAAATGCTTGCAGTATTTTGCAGTAACGACCAATGGAAAGCACAGTCCTTGAATGTTTGGGCGTCAGGAAAGCCCTTTTGAGCTGGTGAACTGCGAAGAGCTGTAAGGAGCCTAAAAAGTTTGAAAATCTCTGAATCTGAATTTTAAGTATTTTGTGACACTGTCCTTTACTTCTCGTGTAATTCTAGTGCTTCAACGTGTTTCAGGGTGTCATTCTTGGGCTTGAGGTCCAGCTTCAGCTTTTTCCATCGCGGCCCTCTTCGTGAGCACATCAAGCCAGCACTTCAGCGATTTCAACAGTTGAAACCGGATCGCGTGAGTCATGCAAGTCCTTTAACATCCTTCTGTCATTTAAGATATCTCTCCAGTAAATTGACATAGACATACATAGACACTGAACATAGCCAACTTTATTGTGAAGTAATCTTCCAGCCCCCGACTGACGGCAGGGTCTATGGTCGTTGATGACCATGTTTTCTGGCTCTATGACATTCTAAATGACTATGGCTCTAAGGTTTCATAGTCGCTTGATCGCTTCGCGGACACCGCCAGGAGGGTCATTCCAGATCATCAAAAAATGATCCCAGTCGGTTTTTTCAGTAAATTTCCTGGATATTCCTGGATCAGGACAGCGAAATAGCATTGACTTTGACCAGAACTTGGGCAAGTGCTACTCCTGGACGCATCCACAGGCACCAAATGGAGCACCAAATGGAGCACCAAATGGATCCAAATGGCACACGGTTTTGCCAAGAGTTTAAGTTGCTGCAGAAAAAACACTCGTTTTGAGCATATAGTGGCAGGTAGTTCTCAAGCCAAAACTGGGAGACAACAAGAATCAAAGCTCGCCGAACCAAACCTGAACTTTGGCCGCAGCACGTTCAGGGCATTACTGCCACTGTTTTGGTGGACAGTCAGGCTCTGAGAATAGTGCAGAGCTATGCAGAGCTTCCATGAAGCAAGTGCAGAGTCTTGAAAGGAAGTGAAAATCTACGCTTCCAGCAGAAAAAGCACCTCTCAAATTTAACTTGATGAGCCCTTTATATTTATAGCAGTGCATTGCATTCCAAGACTGGCAGTTTTCCAGGCGTGTCCTAGGGGTAATGAAAGCTGCAAGATCCCATTAGCCAAGGCGAATATCCCATGAGAGTGGCCTTTGCGTTGGCTGCGGAGGCTCGCCATGATTCTCGATTCAGGTGACGATCCATGCAGAAACTACAGAACAATTCACAGGGTGGTCCCTGAACCGATTGGAGTAGATGTGCAAGTCTTGAATACATGGGTATGGGTCAATACCTATAGATACATTTTTAGTGGGTTATTCACATCCATAAATCCCAGCTATTTTGGGGTTCACTAGGTACCAGGGTTTTGACCCATCCCCACATCAATCAATTCTCATCAATGATTGATCAATGACTTTCTAGGCCATTCGCATCTTCATGGATTCCGGTGCCGTGAAGGGTAGCTTGGAGGTGACCAGCTGGCTGTTTGAGACCAAACTTTCAACTTGTCGGAGGGAAAGGCTCCAGGATATATGGGTATGGGTATGGTTATACCATTTTTAGTGGGATGAACATCCATTTACCAGCTATTTTGATGTGAACTACAGGGGTACTATTGGTTTTGACACACTGCCATATGATTGCATCATTTTTTGCATGTATTTTCCGAGGCCAAGTTTTGAGAGTGCCCAGTTTCATGGCATTCAGCCAGGACATCAAGAGGGATGAAGCGTTTCAGGTGCCTGAAATTCAGGTCCATATGGCGCGGCTTTGAGGAGATGAGTGGGAGATGGTCAACATGGTGAACATGTGTGTCTGAAAATTGGCTATATATAAATATATATATATACAGATCAAAATAGATCAAAATAGATCAAAATAGTCATTTTTAATGTGAAAATGATTTGGGGGCGAGTTTCAGACAGAGCCATTTGTTGAAAGTTCAGCTGACACGCCAGACACTCTTCACCAAATTCCAAAACCCTGCAGAAGTGGTGGCCTGAGATGGGCAGTTCAGTCTACACTGTTTTCATCACACATGGCGTGCTGGAAAATGAACCAGTCATAATTAATCATTTATAGTGGAGTTTCCCATTAGAATCCCCGTTTCAAGATGTTGTTCAATTGCCATGCTTGATTCTTCATTATGTCCTATCCTAGCCTATAACCATGAAATCCTCATGAAATCCATAAATTTACCACGTTTGAGGACACCAACACCAGGTGTTGTGACACGTCACGTCCCAGGCAGATAAATTGACCAAAATCGAAAAGGACTTGGAGGAGGTCCTGTCGGTTGGATTGGATCCAGTCCTCGGGGGGATGGTCATCAATCATCATCAATCATTAATCCATTCTTCATGGAGAATTATCATGAATTAATTATGTATATATATATACAGCAATTATGTGGCTATTCCCATTCATGGGAGAAAACCATAACCCAGATACATCCATATATATTATATATACACCATGTTTTGCCCGTGGCACGACATTTCATATTCACTATAGAGTAGAGACTAGAAATGACTACATTGATCTCTCAACCCCAGATGAATATGAAGAAGCCATATGATCATATGGTGAACAAAGGGATTTCCCCCCAAAATATTGATCATTTGCCAGGTCAAGGGTGTCGTCATGCAGTCCATGGATGACTTGCTCAAACGAGGCAGCCGAAGCTTTGCGCTTTTCGAGCTTGGCGTGTTGCGTTTGGAAAAGCTGCCTTTAAAGGTCACTGAAAGTCACCGAATGTTGGCAATATGACCTTGGTAGAAATGCCAAAACGCGATCGGAATGCAGATGTGTTTCTCTGTTTTTCTCATGATTTTAACCATATTTTAACATGATTTTCCTTCATTGTCATGAGGGTTTTTCCAAGATCAGCCTGATCAGCCTCAGCCGATTTTCCGCCGCCCCTTCAGGCGAGTCCCTGGACCAGCTGATGCAGAAGAGCAAGGATCTGGTTATGTCAAAATAGCTATTGAAAATGGCCCAGTCGAAATAGTGGATTTTCCCATGAGCATGGTGGATCTTTCCAGTTCGCTATGTTAAATTATATGTTAAATTACCAGAGGGTATCCCTTGGTTTCAATCAAATTTCACAGGGATGTATAATTATTACCATTTATTACCCATTACGGCCATGGATTCCCATATATTCCCATTATGGGATGGATGACCCACAAAACCCAATGAATCCCATGTAGCTTGACCACGCCACATGTGATGTTTGGTTTGATTCAGTAACACTTTGAGCAGTTTGGCTCACTTGCAGGACTTATCCAGCACGTCGGTTCAGTTGCTTGGGCTGAAAAGGGATGATCTTCTGAGACAATCTTATTCTGGAAGGTCCTCGACCAAGCAAACAAAAAACATGAAAAAAAAACTACCAGAAAGCATGTCTTCATTCTGACGTTCTTTGTTGAGATCCCTATGATCGCTGCCCAGCATCAATCCGAAAATGGACGGCATGCGAGGTTCTACCGAACGGCGAAAAAGAACAATCAGTGCTGCAAGATGTACTGAGCTCCGCGGACCTCCCAAAGGGGTCCAGGTGGATCTTGAGAGTTGGGGAGGATTGGCCATCAATTGATGCATTTTTTGAGGAACAATTATGAAAAATGCTGATCAATCGTGGATATCGTGGAATTTTGGAGATATTTCAAGACTATGTTATACTATGTTACTCAAGCAGCCTTGAGCAGGTGCTCGTTTTTGTGCTGAGAAAGAAAAAGGATCAAACAGTTATAAGATGTTATAAGATCTTACAAGCCAATATGAGCATATAGGAGCTGGCACAAAAGATCCTAAAGTGCGGAGGCTTCAAACCAGGTGAAGCGAAAGGCACCACGGCTATCAGGTCTGCGGCATGCGCTTCTGAGGGCTTGGAGATGAGCAACATGGGTTGCCGGAAGTTGCCGGGGTGCGCTTTTGCAATCGTCAAAGTATGCAAGACATGGCCTAAGGCAATGATACAAGGACCATCAAGGACCTAGGTGGTTGATTTTTTTCACAAGTTTCGAAGCAAAAACATTTGACTCATTTTATGTCACTTCATGCACTTGAACAGCAAGAAGTTGCAGAAATAGCTTTGTACAGACAAAGCATACATCTGCTGAAAAAATGAGAGAATTGATTTATCAGACATATCATATCAATATAAATTAGACATAATTAGACTACCAATATCGGGAAGCCGCACAAACAAGAAATCCTGACTCATTCTTATGGGACGCTCCTTTTCAATCCTTTTCAGATAATTTTGGCAAATAATACTATATAATAAATTCCTAGAATATTTCAGATTCTTGGAATAAATATATAAATGGTATAATATAATAATATATAATAACCCCGGACATTTAATTTTATCTTGGCTTATACCTTAACATTGCCAATATATTGTTAACCCAGAAAATAAAAAAATTAAAAAAACAATTATATATATATATTTATGAAATCTGAAAATAACAACCTGTACAGACCTCCAAAACGATAATAATATATAACAACATATGAAAATAATACGAAGATTTGGACGGATAACTACTTGACCGATTTAAAATGAATTGGTTTGAATATATTATAATATATTAATTTAAACAATATATATACATTTAATATTTATATAGCGACGGAATATATAAAAAATAAAAATAAATAAATATAATATAAAAATAAATAAATTTAAAATAAATGATTTTTTTTTTTATAAAAATAAAAATTAATAAA